TGTAGGGAAATTTTTTAGGGCTCACCATACCTTCAGGCCCAGAAGTATGTGAATATAAGGACCGGATTGCGTTTACAAACTTCTGGAGCATAGACTGTTGAGCAGATGTGGTTGACAGTATTGATCGATCAACAGACTGGAATTCACGTTTGCAGTCATGGAATACCAAGATTGTGAGTCGTCTGCCGTGTGTCCTCACCTTAACACATGCCACCAGTTTTTGGAGGGAAATTTTTTAGGGCCCACCATACCTTCAGGCCCAGAAGTATGTGAATATAAGGACCGGATTGCGTTTACAAACTTCTGGAGCATAGACTGTTGAGCAGATGTGGTTGACAGTATTGATCGATCAACAGACTGGAATTCACGTTTGCAGTCATGGAATACCAAGATTGTGAGTCGTCTGCCGTGTGTCCTCACCTTAACACATGACGGAGTGTGAGGTATGGTCAAAGCAACTGTTACCCGGTCGAGAGTTCGCCTTACGCTCACAGGTAAATGATCTGCTCTCCACCGCAAGACGGAGAATCAGTGACACCAGAAACCGTGGTACAACAGGAGTCGAGGTAGCACTTCACGGATTGATACACAGGATCGAGGCTTTTGCCCAAGTTTCCCGGGTCGGTTTTGTTCTTGTCGGTCAGTGGCTGTCGTTCACCTGAAAGGCACGAGTGAAAAACGGGTGTAGCACTGCTCTTTATGTTCTCAGCGCGGGGCAGTATGCTTGCCAGCGCGAGGATTCGCATAAATAAATGTCTAATAGTGCTTTAAACTGGGCTCTAGAAGGAGCGTGAACAACCGCTGGAGGAAGGTCATTCCACGCAGCTACTACCCGAAATGAGAAAAAATTTTGTCTAATGAATGTGTCTGCTCTGAGCTTGAAAATTTTCTTACTGTGTCCCCGTTGTGTGTTTGCTGGGTCAACGGTAAAAAATCTGTTTGCCAAGCTTTGTTCAAACAAGGCGTAAGTAAGAATTAGGCCCCCTCGGAGGCGACGGTACTCCAGGGGAAAGAGATCAAGCATCGCAAGACGCGTTTCGTAGTTCACGGATTTGAGAGCGGCACCCATTCTCGTAGCGGCCCGCTGGACACGCTCAATGAGGGTGACGTCGTTCGTGCGTCCTGAGTAGACAACTTGGTTTGCGTACTCCAGGAGCGGTCTGACGTAGGCCCAATGGAGTATTTGTTTACCATACTCAATAAGAGTTTCGTTTTTGAAACTGGACAGCCAAGTTGTCTTGAATGGTCTATTTCTTCCAGATGAAACCTAATCAGCTAGACAGGCGCTCGCTGAGGAATCCACTTCCATCCTTGAACAGAGCAGGTGGAATGTCGTCAGGATCAGAAGTACGGTTACGCCTGATTAGGGATGTACAATTCGATACGTTTGAGGCTGAATGTGTTTCCATGTGCACAATCCACCTTTCTGCTGAAGTTAGTGATTCCGGTTCCGATTAATCATTTGGCCAACTAAATTGTTGTTCGAAGTACTGTGCTCCACAGTCCAGACGTTCTGCTTTGCTGGATACCCTGGAGCCATTTTAGTCCTTGTTTATTTCGCTGATGAGGCTCCCGAGGACTAGTTGAACGAATCTGGTAAGACAGCTTGCGTAAGTCTTCAGCCTTTTTCTCACTTCCCATTTCTTCTACCTTTTGGGTTCACCATACTTCTCGGTTTAGACGGACACTCGGTCTCACCTGGGCGTTCCCTTCGGTGTACTTGTGGTTGCGGCCAAGGGGTATCTGTCGCTAGACCTCCAGCAGGGCTACGGTCCTGTCAGAGGTCTGATGATGAGGATGGATGAGCTTGGCTGAGTTGCACCGCGGACTGAAGTTCCGGTTCTGAGTAGCCCTTTGGATATATTTTCCCAATGTCCGTTGATATCCGGTGTCGGGCCGTCCTGCAGACGCTCAAGGAGCCGGTGCTGATAGTTTCGCTTGATTTCTGGGTCCACCAGCTTCTCGGCGGCTAAGCGAGGCGTGCGCATTTTGCATAAATCTGAAAACCTCAATGAAAATCAGTAGCCTGTATGTGCATAGCCAGTGTCCACGCTGGTGTTCCAGGTGGGGGTGGCTCAAGTTCTCACTTCCCATTTCTTCGACCTTTTGGGTTCACCATACTTCTCGGTTTAGACGGACACTCGGTCTCACCTGGGCGTTCCCTTCGGTGTACTTGTGGTTGCGGCCAAGGGGTATCTGTCGCTAGACCTCCAGCAGGGCTACGGTCCTGTCAGAGGTCTGATGATGAGGATGGATGAGCTTGGCTGAGTTGCACCGCGGACTGAAGTTCCGGTTCTGAGTAGCCCTTTGGATATATTTTCCCAATGTCCGTTGATATCCGGTGTCGGGCCGTCCTGCAGACGCTCAAGGAGCCGGTGCTGATAGTTTCGCTTGATTTCTGGGTCCACCAGCTTCTCGGCGGCTAAGCGAGGCGTGCGCATTTTGCATAAATCTGAAAACCTCAATGAAAATCAGTAGCCTGTATGTGCATAGCCAGTGTCCACGCTGGTGTTCCAGGTGGGGGCGAGATGGCTCAAGTGGTTAGAGCGCAAATTTACTGACCGGAAGGTCCGTGGTTCGAACCCGACCTCCGCCACTCGACTTCCCCTGTCTAGGCTTGGGCAACCTGACAATATCCCAGCCCTCGTGCTTCCTTCGGGTGGCATGGCAGCTAGGCACCGAAAGGGCGCTGCAGCTGAACGATTTATTTTTTTTATGGTGTTCCAGGTGGAGCGACTGGTAGTGATCGACCATCGCCACCGGTAACTGGTGGCTATGTGGTCTATTTGGATTCGGTGTTGGTTCGTTGACGGGCACCACGTCAAGTGAATTCTGCTGTTCCGGAAATTGGCACTGTAAAGAAATAGTCTGTAATCGGTACACATCTGAAGGTGGTGTTCGTTCTTCCTGCTCTTCGTGTTCAATTCAAGACGACCACCCAATCCTGCCCCAACTGCTCTTAGTCTGCCTACCTGACTGTTCATGTCATCAGCATCCAACACTATGTCTGAGGATTCAGCCCGTTGTGAAAGAGCACCTAGAGCATAGTCGAAACTGTCTGACAGATTCATGGTGCGGAATCAGTTCAATTAAGATACTTACTTTCAGTATTCTTGTTTCTGACAGATTGTATACATCAATGCAGAGGGAATCCAGCATACGAATAAAAGCCAACTGTTATCCGGCTTCAGTGCACAAACATCAAAAGGCAGCTGAGTAGACTGGCTTTCGGGGGGTTGGAAACAGATTTCGAAGTGTTTAGGGTTGTTACTGAAGTTGGACCTGCAAAAGCTGCAACTGAATGTGATGCACGGTGAAAAATGGTCAATCTTAGTGCTGTGACATGCGGATAGAGTATTCAAATTTGAGCGGGGTAGGGTAGAAGTGGAAGTACGTGAAATTGTAAGAAGGGAGACGTCAACAGTAGCATGTTTACGTTTCCCGCCTTGCTGCATGCAGCAAGTAAGGCGACCTGGCTGGTGACACCACGCGACGGCTGACGTGGTTGTGACGTTCATGGTTGTACGTGGGCCCGGATGCTGTCAGGGATCCCAGAACTAGACGGGGGGCTTCCATTTCGTCCGTCGATTTTACACTGAACTTTTGTTCCTGTAAGGGTAAAAAATGGCGTTCACCACGCTGGTGGCATGCCGACGTGGCTTAACTCCATTCGAATTCGCTACTACGGTATGCTGTTTGGAAGTGGTATTAGCAATAAGAAGACAGAGTTGGATGATATCCATTATAACATATCTCGTCATGTTTTAGGTAGTCTGCAACGTTAAATTAGGAAGCTGTTCAGTTTTGCCTAGTCACCTGGTCCTGATATCACTTTCTGAGTGTGACTGAAGGCCGCATATAGCAATAATAGTTCAGTTGTAGCACTCCTGGTGCCTAGCTCTCCTGACCCGTAAAGGAAGCATAAGTGCTAAAACACTGACAGCTTTCCCAAGCTTAGACAGGAACAGCCTAGATGCAGAAGTTGATTCTGAATTACAGGTCTTCCGGTCAGTACACTCACACTCCAACCACTGGGTCATCTCGCGACCAAGGCTGCATATGGAAATTAGACACCTTAACTAGTATTCGATCCTGGTGCATAACTTGAATTTTTCACCTTCAAGATTGACCCTATCGGGACAAGTAAAGTGGTGTTCTGCTTCCTTTTTCACCGGTTTCACCGATAGCGAATATAAAAGAGGCTAGCGCTCACTGGAAATATCCGAGAGCTGCTGTACGTTTATTAAAGCAGGTTAAAGTCAGATTCAATTGGCGACACCCGCACCAACAGAAGTGTAGTTGCTGCTGGAACGTTGAAAGATATTTTGTTACAACTCTCAACTCAGTTTGAAGTGGCACAAATGCTTCTGATAGAAAATGTGACGCGACAACTCACAATTCAACGACCGAATTTAATTCCAGCTACAAATTCCTTTGAGCTGATCACCAAAAACATCAAGGCGTTTCACTATGAGCCTGATGCTGGTCTGATTTTTGGCCCCTACTTGAAGTTCTACAAGGATGTTTCCATGATTTAACTCAAACGCAAAAATGATGCTTGGTGAGTGAGAATGTTGCTCAGAAAAATTGGCACATCAGGGACATAGACACTACATCAACTCTATCCTGCCAAAGAACGTACAAGATCTTAGCTCTGAAGAAACCGACCAGCAACTCTGGGCAGTTTTCGGTGAGCTTTCGTCTTTGCTCAGTATTCACTATCAGTGTGTGAAACTGGTGAAAAATAAGTCAGAAGACTACATCACTTGATCCGATAGAGTCGACCTTGTAAGTGAGCAATTCAACTTTGATGAGCCAGCTGACTCCAAATTCATCAGACTTGGAGTCCAACCACTTCTGTAACGGTATAAGCGCTATAAATGTCTAAATGAGCTTGTTTAATTTGAACGCAGGTAGACCTTCGGTTTAATCGCTCATCTCCCGTCCGATGACAGAACAGAGAGCAAATATTTCGCAATTTATTTTGTTAAGCGCTCACCATGTTTTCCGTTTTAGCCGACCTGCGTGTAGTAGGAATGACAGTCCCATCACAATGTAAAGGTAGGTTGTTTGATAAAAAATACCATTCAAGCGTACTTGTTGTCAGCTGATGTTGCACGTTATTTTGAAACGGAGAACAGACCTTTTAGTTTGAGTGATGTTACCAATGCTTTAAAAAATTATGGAAAAACAGTAAGAACTCAATCAAATAGAGGTGGTTGTTTCAGGTTGTTTCAAAAGCTATAGACGAACTAGCGGAATCGGGAATTCTTCGAGAAAAGTTATATGGTAAACAAAAGGTGTACGTCTATGACCAGGTACAGCTCATTGCATCATGCTAGCTATTTTTTTGCAGTCACGACTGCCGGTGTTTGATGAAAATGAGTTAAGGTTACTGGAGGAAGAGATAACATCTTTGAGCACTCTGCTGGCGGAAGAACAACACCGGTTGAAATCACTATCAAATGGTAATGATGTGCCATAGAAGCCTTGCGATTTGATGATCAGAGTTAAAGAAAGTAACTTCGACGCTGACGATGGAAGAGGCAACGCAGGAACTGGCACATGTCGAAAGTGAAGTAAGTCTGTTGATATGTTGTCCTTCGTTTTCGTTAAGACAGAACCTTAATAAGAGGATTTGGTTTTAATGTTCGGAGATCTCGCGTGAATGTAGTTGACTTTGTCCACTCGTTACTGTCTCTTGTTTGTATATCATCCCTCTATTTTCTCCCTTTTCGACTAATATTCCTTACCTAGTGGCGTCACTAACGCTGATTATTGAGCCTGCTACATCTGCTGTTCAGCTGGGCTGTTTTATTTCAGCGTGACTCGGGAGGGTTAATTAGCTGTTGATCAGGTAGTGGTTGATCTGTTTACCGAGCTTCGTGATTCACCTGCAAACGTTTCATCACCACGTGAGAAGGCTTCGTCGGTGCACGCACTGACCGTAGCACTGATTCTGAGAAGGCATCTTTGTTCGAAAAGTGACCAACCCGTTTTTCACCGCGACTGGTTCGGATGTAGTCCTAGTCACAGCAAATTTTATTGCGCTAGTAGGGCACCTCAGTTCATGCAAGGCACTCTTTGTTGGCAAGTGCAGTTTGGTTACAAGGACCTTTTCCAACTCAGTGATGTTCGGTGGTTGTTCACCAGCGGGCGCCATTGTGCTGCCTGGCGTCTTCCTACTGTTTAATTGAATTTCCCAGATAAACCTAAGAAACAAACTTCCGGCTCAGTAGTCGAAAATCATTCTGAGCCACATTTTAAGCAGATATACCAAAGTTTACTGAGTCATGGTGGTCTCTTCAGAAGACCCTAATCAGAAATGACAGTGGCCGTTTATACATGACAATAAAAACTTAGCATTTGGTGTTTCCCTGCACTTACATACTAACCAGTGGATATCGGAACGGTCGTAGTAGGTACAAAGCCTAGCAAACTCAAAGAATGAAGGGAGTTTGTGCAACGGAGGACTCACGGAAGTTGGTCCAGGGAGTCCACAAAACGGTACGGAGCCCACAAACAGGATAAAGCACGAGGGTGGAAGTACAGCCATGTCGCCCAAGCCTAGGTTAAAGCAGTATATATGTATTTGTTGGGCTTGAACTTCGGACATTCTGGCAATTAAGTTCGCGCCTTAACCACTGAGCTATCCTGAGCTCGAGGGGGGGAGGTTTTAGACTAAGATGGACGGCCTTGTCTTGTTACATGGTGACCATCAGTTCGCCCATTCTACTTCAAACGGAATTTCCGTGTGATCCATAGCTTCAGTTTGTGTTTTGCGTCTTCAAAGTGCAAGTTGCTGCTTCAGGCTTCTCCGCCTCCTTTGTGATTTCTGAAACCTTCGTAACAAAAACTCGGGCCTGTTGACTAGTTTACTTACCTGAACAGCTAAGAAAGCCATTATGGAAGTCAGTATACGCGCTGACAAGACACGAACAATATTTGCAAACTTGCGTCATTTATGGCGTGAGGAAAGATTCTCACCGAAACCAAAGGATTATTTTCACATGTCTGGTGAGGTTCGCGAGCGACGTTCTGTCAATCCCACTGATGGCTTCTTACTTCGATACGATGCTGAGATGCGCCCATTTTGCTGTCACAGGGTGCAAGTAGCTTGTACTTTGTATTTTTTCGTATGGATATAAGGCTGTTTATACTCAGTTCTCACCAGTACCATTTTCCTCCACTCTTTACCAAAACATTATTCGTCATCTTTGTGCGGCAGTGAAGCACCAGTATGTATTGGTGTTTGATTATTGCTTATACTGTCTGGTTCGCTTTTCTGTAACTACCGTTTGCCAACAAGCCTCTTAGTCTGCCCAGGTTAAGCTCCTCAGGACCCGTTCATCTATAGATGTCGTTTTTCGATTTCGAGCTCAGGTGTCCCAGGTTCGCTTGATTATAGATACCAAGTTCGTCTTACCCAGGTGTACTGCTTTTACGTTTGCAATGGACCCCTCTCGCCTTCTTTTGCCTGTTTGACTCCATTCAGAACTAATTTATGTACCTCACTGCCACGTCGTGTCTGACCGACAGCCTGGAAAATCTGCAGCGTCAGGATGTGGCTTCCTTACTTTCGTCCTGCGGCTAGTTCAACGGTAGATGCTCGTGGAAGCTATTCTTTTCAGCCGCTTATCTCGGCCTTTCAATTGAACAACTCGGGTATTCATATCCAACCATCTGCACGAAGTTTCGGTTTCTTAGTATGGTGCGAAACTGCTATACTTTTCCCCAGAACAATCGGTCTCTGAAGTTCTAGACAACTTACTGCGTTTTCACACCTTCACGACCTCCGCCTCTTCAAATGTCTAGTTGCTTTGCTCCTCAGCCCATCATTACGAGTGTGTTTCTATGTGTGTTGTAAACGAAGTTTGGCGTTCTCAGCTTTTTACATAGATGTGAATGTTATGTCTATTTCTCAGTTGTTCTGTTCATGGGAACAGAATGCGGGATCTATCGCACATGCCTTATGGTGACTAGATGAGTATCTCTTCACTTGACAGTGTTCTGTATATTCTCTATTCACTACGAATTCCAGTTGAACCGAGTCGAATCGGAAGTCATCAGACTTCGAAAAAAGGGTGTGGTCATCAGACCTGAAGATTTCGAAGAGGTAAGCACTCACCTTTTGGTTTGGTGCTTCGTTTGCTGATCACCACTCTGGTAAAAAAAAATCGGATCACGAATGGATTTCTTTGTCGTATAAACTGAAATATCCCCTAGTGGGACGAATACTTCATCCGTTCTGAGAAGGACTCCCTTCTGCGGTCTAATCATCCACTTAAATCATCAACCTTTGCCATTTCTCCTGGTATTCTGATTTCGAACGGGGACCAACCGATTCTATTGGATACCTGGTTTTGCCTAAAAAATATCCGAGAACAGACAGCAGGCATACCGCGTAACATACCCTTAGATATGTGAAAGGTTAATAAGGTCGCATCCGGTCGGTATTAAAAATACATGACTATCTATGGGATGAACATGATGCAGTCTTTGAAACACATGTGACACTTTACATGTCTCACATCATATTTACCATTATATACACCTCACGTCATTTCCATTCATGTAGTGGAACTGTTATAAGTTGGTCAATAAAATGAACCGTTTTTAATGACAGGTCTCTTCCAACTGTGTCGCAACTTTTGTCATTGAGGTTAATATACTGTTTTTGGTTTAGCTTATCAGATATTTCAGTAGTGCGGAACGATGACCGCAATTTTTCCAGAAAGGCCAAGAGTATGAAAACATTATTTCGTTGGGTTATTATATCCCCCACACGTTCGCTGCTTTTCCGACCCCATTCCTTCGGCAGAAGGCCAGACCATTTGTGGCCCTCATACACTGCGCAGGCATCCAGTCGTTTGACTACTGTTGACCTGCAGTTCCGATTTGCATACCAGCCATTTATGTCCTCGCTTCCTTTGTTGGGTCTACGGTTTTTTTGAGCATATTAACCTTCACACCAGCCGTTTCTTACCAAGCAAAAACTGCCTCTCAAACGCCTACAGGACAATCACATTAGCTGCACGCATTGGTAGCCTGTTACAGTTTTTCATCTCAGTCGTCTATCAGACCGTCTGCACCTAACTTCTCTACCGAATCCTCCGTTCATAGTGGAAAGTGATGTGCTGTTACGAGATTGACTTGACTTTTTCGGGTTAGACTTTTTGTTCGTTCTCCAAAATGTTGCCCAATGAAGAATGTTGTGCTCCCATCACGAAGACTTCTAGACTCAGTGCATGAGCTAACGTAGGTGCACCTGCCATTTTATGGACTCACTCGTCAGTTTCTTGCTGTTTTTTAAAAACAATTTTCCGAAGTCCGCTGATGGGTAAATCCACTGTATGATAAAATGTCTGATGAGGATTCTGCTGCAGGTTATTTTTAAGAAGGACTCGGCAATGTCCTCGCTAGTTTTTATGGTGTTTGGCATGGAAGAACCCGATATTTTCGATGGTCGGCTGAACGTACCAATTACTCTCTCGTGGTTGCAACTTAACGACGGCTACATTCGATTGCCCTAGGACTATAGCCTGATCATTGCATGTTTTCACTGAGATGTCAAGTTCAACGCAGCTTATTTGCGGTGCGTGGATTTTCAGATCAATCATGAAAATTGCGCCACTGGTATAACTATGGGTACAATTGTCTAAATTGTTAGGGATTAATAAACATGGTTTCGAACGACACTCAAGGGAATAATTAAGATAGTCTAATCACCCACCAAATATATAGTGCGTGTTTGACAGCAGCAGGTGCCCTGTATTCAACTTCCACATGGAACATTATTACAGGCAACGTGAATTCGTCCGCTTTTCAGATTTTCTCTTCCTATTCGGTTTTCAGGGTCAAGTAATATTATTCTTTGCCTGCTTTGTTGGCAGGCGGTTACCTTTAAAACCCAAACATGCATTTTTTGTCTACATTGGGACTTCCCTTAGGTCACTAGCTCACGCGATCGTTTCACTACCGAGTGGCGAAAACGGAAGCGAATCGTAAGTCGCTTGCTGAAACCCTTAACATCATCGTTGCTGTTTGCTTCTTTCTGTGGCTGTATCACTGTTCCGAAGTTATCACCGGTCTATGGAGTTTAGATGTTGACGTTGAACATCACAACATCCTAGATACAGGCTTTCATGTTTCATCAGTTGATTCCACCTCTCAAAAGGTTGTGAAGAATGGAGTTTGAGGAACAATTCCCCAGAAGTCACACTGCCCGATGTGCAACATTAAGGGGAGCTGTCTTCTTCTAGAAATACCGCCTCTTAGAAAAGACTACCATCTATCTATCGTTGCTATTGGTCTTTAAGATTCCAGAGAACACCTTTTCTGAGCTCAGGCCACTTCTTAAGTGTTGTTTGGTAACATTCTTTTCTCACATGCTGAATAATAACGAATTTCGCCTGTTTGTTGCTTTTTTGTAATCGACTATGCAAAAGAGAATCGGTGGTTAGTGGGACCCAAATAACCGGACTCGAGAGAATTCAGTAATTAACGCGCGAAGTCACTGTGATTCCACTTAGTCTTGTTCGTGCGATTCACTCGGTATAGCATAAGATCACTTGACAGTTTCTTATCCCTCGTGCTCTCCGAGTCGCACGGCTGTTGCACATCAACCCAATTTTTCCCGTATACACTCAGACAAGCGGCTTATACAGCGTGGACTGTGTGCTCATACTGTCTTTACCATTGTATTCGCCGGCCATGGAATCCATGTAACTGATGCACCAAAGTAATTCACCTATCCTCCCACTACCCGCTACGTGTCTGTCACCGTTTTATGGGCAGTCAGTTCACCTGAACCTTTTGCATTGTGCATAATGTTCGGTCATCTTTTGGTGTTTATTAACTCCGCTCCGAAAGTGATGCCTCGCCAGACCTCAGGGATTGCCAAGATAAAGTAGCTGAAACTTTATGTCCGCACTGCTAGTGTTTCTGACTCTGACTAAAGCTCGTCTACGGTGTTCTTTTCTCGAGGAAGCCTTCAGGAATTTCGAAATGTTTCGCTGACGAGGGGCATTTATCATCCCAACAGAAAGCAATTTGATAACGTACTTTCTGTGTTGTGTGGTGGCTTTTCGTTGTTGTACCGTCAGAGTTTGCTTTAGTTGCACTTTCGGTGATAGAAACAAATACCATGCCAAGAGGGCGTCTTCTTACTGAATCGATCAAACTTACTTTCGAGTTTCATTAGTGGCACACTTAATAGTATACCGTTTCTTGAGGAATTTGACCAACAAGCTAACCGTTTAACTGAATGTTTCCTATCTCTTCACCGAAATAGGCCATGGATATAATTGATGCAGTTGCTGAAGGGTATCCAAAAAGCAAGAAACAGCTGATGGTGAGTACTTGTATTCATTTTCGCCGTTTTATGGTATTTGCCAACAAAACTTCAATCCACCAGATTAATTTGGTGTGTTCCTCTTTTACGGATTTTACATATTTTCGAGAAAAAAATGATGAGTACTCTAGACTGTGTTTGCATCAATCAGCGGTCTCCGCAGGAAATACCTCATGTGGTGGGTGTCGGATAGCATGGCAATCACCCTAGTTGATAACTGGTTGGAAATAGTGGCTTCTTACTCGTCCGCAAATACGAATTTGTGAACGGGAAATCAAACGAAAGTGGTTGCATTTTAATAGCTATAGCATCGTTTGGTTTGATTGGTGGTTTCTCCTATATACCGATGTCTAGAAAATATGTTCCTCTTAGTACTAACTAAGCACAGTCTCGCCTGTTTTACTGTGATCGAAATACACTCTGATGTGGGTTGAAATAAGTCCGAATAAGTCGGTGAGTGGCTGCTCGGAGTATCTGTGACTCACTGACGGACACTAAAGGCCATTATATGTTGACTTGCAAGTCTTCGATTTTGTGTGATGTGCCTTGGTTACCCACGAAGGTTGCAGTCTGTTTTTTAGCGGACACGACTACCTGCGGTGCGACAGCAACAAGTTCCGATCGCATGTCTGTACCGGAAACGTATCAGCTGAGCACACTTGATAAATGGCTCAGTGAAAGAGCCCAGTAAGAAAAATCGAGCGTCATCTTCGCGGCAGAAGTGTTGGTGATCATCGGTGGCTTGTATTGTACTATAATTAACTCAGGTGGTATGATTTTGTGGGTGTTGTTTATGATGCAAGTATCTGCTGGTTAAGCAACATTCCCAATTGGCTTCCGATTTCAACCCTCATAGCCAAAACTTCGTCATTTATTTCTGGTAACTAACTCGTTGGCCATCTAACATTAAATCTGAGTTGCTCAGCTACACGACTGCTGTTTTGTCCTCGGTTATGTGACCAACGGTTTCGCTGGACAAAGCATTAGACAACGTCCGCTTACCCGGTAAAAATTCTCAGTGGAGGACTCCCACGGAGCACAGCCAAATGACACTAGGTGCAGGGTGTTCCTTGTTCGGGAGTTTTGAAGATATGCACCCAACTACTTAAAAATAATCATCCAATTTTCTACGAATTGGCGTGACACCATAATATTCAAATGTATACGGTGCCTCCTCCGGTAAACCAGTGTTTGGAATGTTAGGACTTGGTGTTGCTCTGTAGCACGGCAGAAACATGATGATTTATGGTGTAACCCCCTCCCCTCTGAGTTACATTGTTGTCCTCTGGAAAGTTTTCACAACTTCCTCCATCCCACCGTTGGATGATGGATGGAATGGTGGTAACTGAATATATTTGCTACCGTACAGAAAGCTGAAAATTTTGTGGAGGTGAATGCTGTTCGATTTTCGAAGACCAATATATCCAGAATTTTAAAACGACCGAATACATTTAATAGTTTTACCTTGATGACACCCGAAGTGACACGCTCCCTGGGTAATACTTCAAGCCATTCACATCACAGTTGAAAGTCAACATGACGTCAACCTGATATGAATACAAGGTTTATAGCTCACGTGATGAGCACAGTTCTGTTTTCCGAGGCGACTATTACGACAACTGACATTTGGGACACTTGTGAATGAGGTCCTTTAATCTTTCGTCTATATTCGGCCAGCAGCCGTAGCTGCGAGACAGGGCATTCATGTGAGTAATTACTGGAGTGGATGTGTTTAAGAACGGTGTTCCATAGTTCACAGGGCTCCATTACACGACCATACACTAACCTCAGAAAGACGACTTTGTGGGGACGGCTGAGATAGACCACTGGATATGTTGACCGCCAACGCGTGCCGTAGAGTTAGATGTTATGCGTTGTGAAGTCACCGACCAAAGCCGAAGAGACCGGCACTGTTTGAATTGCGGCAGTTAGCACAGTGTGGGCTTTTCATTTCAACGTTAGGGCCTCGAAGGGTGTCTTCAAGTTATCCGCTTTATGAATCCATCAGTCTTCATAGCACGTCAACCTGACCTTTGGTATCACTTGATTAATCCTTGGCAGAAAAATTATAGCCTTAAGCCTGATTTTCCGGAATTGCAAACGACTAGCTGCATCACCTGGGATGCCTTTTCTTCGATCCGAAAATATTAATGATGGGGTGAGATAGTGCATGGTTCGAATCCGACCTCTGTCTCTCGACTTCCCCTGTCTAGGCTTGGGCAACCTGGCAGCCCTCGTGCTTCTTTCGGGTGGCATGGCAGCTAGGCACCGAAAGGGTGCTACAGCTGAACGCTTTCTTTCTTTTCTATGGTCAGCGATGAGAGCGAAATGACGGCCATGCAGTATTCTGCGAATATTTTCGATAGTGAACACACTAGTTAGGGATCTGGCTGTACGAGCTATATCTTCTCCAGTTCAATCGGGGAAAATGTGGGAAACACCTGCCCCAGTAACGCGTTTGGATGTCTGAAACAACACCAATCTCCATAAGTGAATTGGGGTGGATAAGGAGTAGGTTAGAATCAAATGCAGATTGACATTCGCTCGATCTGTCCCTAGGCATACCCTCTTTTAAGAGTTGGTTTAATGGTTTGTGAAAAAGATACATTTCCGGCAGAAGTCTACCGCAACGGCTTACCAGACTGTGGAAAGATCGTAGAGTCGGAGCTATCGTCTGTTTTGTTAGAACTACTCCGTAAAGAAAACAAGTTTTTTGTCAACAAATCCAAAGCATTTTACGGAGGTAGAAAAAGTGCACATTTATTTGTGTACGGAAACAAAACCCTTATCATAATTTCGATCAACGACACAAGGTGGGCGATGATGTTCGTTCTGAGTAGAACCGGTGACAATGGTGCCGTCTAAGTAAGCGACAACTCCACTTAGGTCGGTCAACATTATATCTTTGCTGAAATATGGCTGCCGGTTTTCCACGAAATGACAAGTGAATCGCGATGAAAACGCCCCTACCTACCATATTAGTTTAGGGAGAGCTATTGGGTGAGGAAATACGCACCTGTAAAGTGTCTATTTCACTCCACTCCAGGGTTTTCTATTTCAGTGTCTTCGTAGGGTTTTTTCGTACAGTATTTACAGGATCATCTTACAGGTAGCCCTTTCTTGACGTACCGACCACATTGAAGTTATGACGAAAACAGTCTAGTTTTACATAGCACGTTATGATATCGGTATCACCCGGCGGTACAACAATCTTGTACACCCGAAATAAGGGGATCGGATTGAAATGATACTGCTATTGCACGTTACTTGCGAGGTGCTGTGGGATATGTTTGTCTTTTTTATGACATTCCTCGCACACCGATGCGATTACTCTGCCAAGTTCTCATCGAAAGGGGGAAGAAATTGGCAAGGGTTTCGGTCATCATCTACTTCAGCTGTGTCAACTGGCACAAAGTGCGGATTCAAATGTACTTGGTTGAACTCATCTTCCCACAGAAGGATACCATGATAGTACATATGCTTATTGAATCTGCCCCCAATTTTTCTCTTATGAGTATGAGAAGTCACCGAGTTGTCCCATACTCGCAATGCACCCTAGTATGCAATTACTTCCACTTCTCTTTGTCGCAGTCTGATGTGGGAATCGAAACTGATGAAGACTGCGGTGTCACCTTCCCTAAAGATCGATGATGCAAGAACTGCGGAAGGTTCTACTCGCACCGGAACCCGTTCCTGGCGCCACTTTGTCCTGTTGTTTTTTATCGCTACTTTTGAGAGTCCTATACGTATCCACCAAAAATACAAGTATCATTAAAACTTAACAGAGTGAGAGAACATGTCGTCGAAGGCTTCTGCCACTTAATACATGTGCAGCGTACGCTGATAATTAACGCGCGTGTGGGCTGCACAATGCAGACAGATAAATATGCACTGTGCCAGGAGATGATCCGTCAGTAAAAACAATGACGAATCGAGCTTTGTGTTGTGCTGTCGAGATTCTTGTAGTGTTCTCGAGTTTCACATTAACAGTGATTCCTAACTGCGAAATTGTCGAAACATGAATCTACGGATTAACGGGCTCCAACATGTGTGACGTTGGTTTTGAGTACGCTCAACCTGTGCGTAGCACTAGACACTTATTTCACTCATTGTGCAACCAAAAATGGAAATGAAAACAGCATTTTTATGCTGAACATGAACTTTTAACTCAGCCGATAGGCAGTTCTACACCCGTCAGCATGCCCAATTGGTGGTCCACTGTCATATCAAGTGTTTACTCAGCAGGTGAACCCCACGCGGCATCCAGAAGGGCATCTGATGGCCCACACCATTCACAAGACACATCCTAAACACACACACGACTATCTAGTGCAGATCATCATTCATCTGCACAACAGTGGTCACAACACTTCGCTTCTAGCTTGTAGGTCCAGAATATCAAACGCATTAAATTAGGTTGGGGCTTTGCTGACAGATGAAAACAGCCTAGAAGTTGGGTCCAAAGGTGTCTGCTTCGGTTGGACTGCTTATAGGCCGAAAACAAAACACATCTGCATGTAACAGTAATATAAGTGATTTGAATATTACATATGGGTATCTGCCACCGACTAACTCAAAGTAATAAAGTCAAAAATGGAAGACAAAGTGTGGTAAACTGTGATCACAATAAGCATGATCATCGTAGACAGCAACATCAGTGTGACAATGACACATCCTAAACACACACACGACTATCTAGTGCAGATCATCATTCATCTGCACAACAGTGGTCACAACACTTCGCTTCTAGCTTGTAGGTCCAGAATATCAAACGCATTAAATTAGGTTGGGGCTTTGCTGACAGATGAAAACAGCCTAGAAGTTGGGTCCAAAGGTGTCTGCTTCGGTTGGACTGCTTATAGGCCGAAAACAAAACACATCTGCATGTAACAGTAATATAAGTGATTTGAATATTACATATGGGTATCTGCCACCGACTAACTCAAAGTAATAAAGTCAAAAATGGAAGACAAAGTGTGGTAAACTGTGATCACAATAAGCATGATCATCGTAGACAGCAACATCAGTGTTGACAATGACACTGTGCTGCCGTACGGCCACAAACTACACTCAATTACATTCAAGGCCTCGGAGTGTAAAAAGGAAAAGGCTGGATGGGTGACCGCAAACAGGCCACCAAATTAAAGCTGAGGAGACGAAACAGATAATGGCTAAAAACCTCGAGAAAAATCTGAATGACACTGCACACAAAAAAAATAGAACATGAAGGCGCCAGTCCACTGATGAAAGAAACAACACGAAAGATCAGGAGTGAGCTAGGACTTCACTGCTGAAAATTCATCTGGCTCAACGTAGCATGCAAACCGGAATGTCAAATTATGGCTGTGCTCACCTCGAAAAACCAAGGTGAAGAATTTTTCGCAAATATTTTGGCCCCGACCAAAGACCCCTGAAAAAGGACCGGTAGAAAAGCAACTAGAAGTACCTCAATACGGTTGACTAGAACAACCTCTGATACAAGTCCGAAAGGAACCTTGTGGTGAGGCGAATATGACAAATTTGATATGGCCAATATAGACCTAGTCCTTACAGGGAGGTGTGCCCTAAGTAACCATTAGACCCACATGGGGATGTCAGGGATGAGATACCAAAGAAGGGAAAGCGCCTGATGACCGACAGTCACTTGTGAAACTTAGTGGGTTGTAAGCAACCACGGACACCCAATGACACGCGGTAAACCATTTGGGGGTACATGAGGGAGATAAACATGTTGACGAAGTTCTGCCGAATTCTGACGCCTGGTAACATCTCAGGTCACGAAATCTGCTCCCACTCACCGTTCTACATACAGATGCACGGATAACAATTTAAACAGTAGAAACACTTTCGGCAAAGGAGTGAGCATCATCCCTGGTTTGTATGAGTCAACCTCCAACTCCGAGTTTAACTTTAAATCCAGGATGTGCTGACTGCATCCATTACCGACTGGAGACAGGACACCGTCCTGATCCGAAAACCCCGCTTCACATCAAACGATCATAGAATGTCAAGGTATTACATTTGTCGAATCAAATATGGGAAAACGAAGACAGTCATCATAAACCCCTTGCTCACAACACAATTACGGTAGATCTCGTTCGGTTTCGTTTGCCATACATTTTTCTCCAGTGAAAGGATGCAGTAAAATGCACTCAGTGTGCCGTGCAAAGATTCGTTCCGCTTAACATTTTCGGAATTCAGTCCGTTTGAAAATTCTCAAACAAGCTTGCACGAATATTGCGTTCACGCTAGCGGGTCGTTAAGTGTGAAGATGGAGTGGGAGCCGCCCATCCTACCGCAAGATGTGATAATTTTTCCTTCCAAATGAACACAGTTACAATAATCAGATGGGTGAAAAGAACATTAAAACGGACAAGTCACTCACTTGAGCATCCAGTGCAAATAAAGGAGTGGCATCACAGTAGTTTTGAGCCAGTAATGCACATAACGTTCCTTACTTTGGTCGAGTGGAAGCGTTTCTAGGGGTTTCATTGTGTAGTCAAACTCTGCCAAGATGCCACGGTTGTATCCAGTGATCAAAGGGCAAGCGGTATATCCATCGTACTGATTTGGTAGACGGAAAATGTTATCAGTTAACTTAGGAACCAGAAACGCAACGTCCGGATCACTTCAAAAGCCAACAAACCAAACATGTACTGACTTTTAAACATGTGGCGGAGTTAGTCCATATCGACCGTAATACCTTTCCTTACAGAAACATGAAGATTTTATCCTGATCATCCGTTATTTCCAAATTCGATTGCAGAAGTTTGTTTTGAATTAGGGCCGGATCCGACGAAGCAATAAGATTCGCATAAGGGTTGAGGAGCGAAAAAGACAGTAGTGATATACCAGGTGGCAACGTGCTTCGACGATTCGCGGCTAGCGTCCTTTCTAGTGCAGGACGTTGAAATCCCGCATTTTGGTCTTATGGTGCTATAACGTATACGTGGGAACTTAGTAAACCTGACTTTGAAGCTTGGATTTCCTGAGTGAAAACTTCATACAAGACTCGTTGTGTGTTTCGGGTTCCAGAGCCATTTCGCTTTTTTTAAATGTTGAATAGGCATACATGTAAATGGATAGCCAGTCGAAAGTTTATCGCTCCATTTAAGACCAAAAAATCTTGCAGGCGATAGTGTGAATATGCTACGCGTCTATGACATTCAGCCACGATATGAAGTTCGACATTCATTTTTTTTCCAGACAAAATCGTTCGCCCTCTCTTGGAGAGTCCGAAGAAGCTTTAACTATGGCTAAACTAAGAACAGACCAACTTCTCCGTTAAGATCCATGCCTGTTGGTGCCGTAATGGAGCGAGCCATTACTTGAATGCCTATGATTCCGGAAAACGGCATTCTCCTGAATTGGTGATCTCCCTACGCAGTTGAGGCTTTATTGTACTGCTTTCTTACAACTCTATTTTGCATGATGCGTTACACTCGAAAATCACCAACGACAAAAGCCCTGTCCAGCGCCAACATTATTCTAATGTAAACAACTTAACGCAGCCACTGGTAGAATCACTCGGCTGTCGTAAAACAGGTTAGTCAGGTGAAGGATGTGAACTGCAGTCTGTGTTGACCGAAATTCGGTATGTTTCGCGTCCGTTCATAGAAGCCAGACACCGGAAGGTGAAACTAACATGGAGTTTTCATCCTGCACAAAATCCGAACTTGTGAATTCGTTTTTCCCTAAAAGTATCTTCGATATATGTAACTTAGCGGTATCTTAGAGTACCGCGCCCGCATAATCGGTGAAGGATCGTCGGCGGTTCCAACCAATTCGGAGCTCACCAGCTGTGCGTGGCGTATAGCACGTTTTCTTATCCTTCGTGCATGATGTTTGGGTCTTACGTAACAGTCTTAGTTTGTGGCACAAGCGAAAGACAAGACTAAGTGAAGTTCGTGTGTGTTCTATAAATCTCAAACCAGACGAATCGATGAGCTGTCAATGTCCTGAAAAACAAAATCACATCGTATTTCACTCCCGAAACATGCGCAAATTCAACTACAATTCAACTATAACCAACGAAACCGTAAAACATAAGTATGCACGAAGGTCAGGAGCATCGACCTAAAGGGAAAAGATAATACTACGCGTTACATGAGATCGAGCAATGCTGCCTACCTGTTCAACATTGCCAGTGCCCCCAGTTAGCACGCTTTGCAGATTCTTGCACAATACAGGTAACTGTGACGCTAAAATGGATGAAAAAGCGATACGAAATAAAGCTGGTAGTAAGACAACTGGACGTGGAAACTCAACGTAATTGCGTAGGAGAATAAGTTTATAATCCTCCACTAAGGGAAAAAAATTCTGAGTCTACCAGGTAGAAAAGCCCGATTTGTTGAGATATGGCATTCCCGTCGGGATTTGCCCAGTGCCTGTGTAGTCAAACTAGTGCTGGTCAGCTGGACTGGAGCAACACGCCGCCAGGTGGTTGAGTAACTTACAGAAAGACTTCAGATGTTTAATGTTTGTGAAGTTGTTGACCCCTGATTTGCCTTTGGGCTCGAGATAACTCGGTGTTTAAAGCACCAGCTTACGGACCGGAAGGTCCGTGGTTCGAACCCAACCTCAGCAAATCGACTGCTCCTGTCTACGCTTGGACAACTGGACAGCATCCCAACCCCCGTGCCTCCTTCCGTTGGCATGGCAGCCACGAACCGAAAGGGTGATAAAGCTGAACGATTTGATTTGGCTTTTGTTGAACGTCCAGTCGTAGGCCACATAAAAAAGAAATCTGAGGCTATGGGTATCGATTCAACAGGGCTGCCATTTCATTAATATCTTCAGAAGGATGTGACTTGGAATGAAAAAAATAGACGTAAACTGATCCTTCCGGTAACTAAACACTCGTACGGTATGCCGCAAGATTGCACAAGTTACGGTGAACTAGGAAGTGGACAGTCGTTCAGGTGCGACTCCACGAGGTGAGGTCAGCCGCTGAGCTTGACACTCCTCAAATTAGCTTACGATGTTTCCAGATTCCCACGAATAGAGAATAGGAGACTGGTCAGTAGAACGAGATGACAGAAGCCATTTGATATAAGCGTTCGGGTGGTACTTAAGAAAATTAGCTCGTAGCACGCCTATAGTACGGAGGCTGAAAGTCAGTCACAATTCCCGTTCAAATCTGACAGTCTGAAAATCGTTCGCAAAGCCGCACAATATTCAAGGGAGACGCGAATGGTTTCTTCAGGGATAAAGGAGAGATAGACAAATCATTGTTGTCTTTTGGGCCAACCCCCTTGGGGGACCGGCTGCGCCTCAAGAACAGAAATTCAAACTGTTGAACCATTTTTGCCAAAGAAAGAGACCACGATACAGATGCTTCGAGCACAACTCAGCTTTATCTTCCGTGGAAAAACATTGAAAGCCCACAGTTAGCGTGCGGTCCGCACGGTGCTACACTTTGTTCAGTTGCACTGCGTCAACCTAATATAGAATCAACAAAAATACGAATGGGAAAACGGTGCCGACCTGTGTGACAGGACAAACCGCAGGACTCATTGAAGTGGCAGACATTTGGCGACAATATGTGACTGGTTTCGGTCAGGATGGGAAGTGTAAAGGATTAAATTTCAATTTGTCGTTCAACCGACTGATGGCCTATCCAGAACAAATCATACATCTACCAAGAGAAAACTTGTCAAAATTCATAGTTGAAATAGCAGCATCAAACCAGGCGTCAGTGCATAAACTCACCCACTGCGGCTGTGGTTTTCGACGTGGGCAGCGAGGAGCAATCACCAAACGCCCATACATTAGGGTAGTGCGTATGTCGTAGGGTAGCTGGGTCTACATCCACATAGTTCGCTGCGCTGGGCTTCGTTAGTTTGGGAGTGTCGATTAGTACCTGCGATGCTGCCATCGGAGGGGTGATATGCAGCAGGTCGTACTAGAACGGAAGGTGTGAGACCACGTGTGTGGGTACAGGGGATTGAAGAAAAAACAATATTTTCGGGACGCAAAAGCTTGCTAGAAACAGGAGTGAAAATAAATGACCAGTGTACAGTCTGCATTTGTAGGTGGAAAGGTAGAGTTGTCAAGAGATAAACTTGAGAGTGCAAACGCGCACTTCTGAATGAAAACCTGCCCATCTGCTAAGTTCAACTCACGCTTATTTATTCTGCTGAATAATCAAGTGTGGCGGACCTCATCTCATGAGGTACCACAGAGAGAACCTCCAGGAGGAGTACGCAGCCTGCTAGTCCCAAAGAGAGCACATTTACAAAACCTATGCACTGGAAGTCGAAATATGAAAATGGGAAGGGAAGGGGGCAGACGAAACACTTCCCAGAATTTCACTTTACTGTTAGTTTTATCGGGAGCCTAATCACGCGTTCGATGGTTCCTCGAACACGAAGTTTCCATTTCCTTCATTTTTAAAGGACGGAAACGTTAAGGCGCGAGTATGAAAATTTGACGGATACATGGTTATTCGCAAACTTAGCTTTGTTGAGTCCAAAGACAACCATGCGTAGCCCTCTACAGTTTAAAATAAGTGTGTAAACAATGCAGGTGGACTCAGAGGTGATGCTAATGACTTTTGGATATATAGATTTTAAAGCGCCCAGGGAACCCATAACTGTCGCAAAAACAAGCAGTATTACACAGCACTATGAAGGGATGATGAATAGCGTTGAAAAAGTTGGCCTCCCGAAAAAAACTAATCGGACGGTGCAAACGTGGTTTCGTTAACTAAATAATCCATCATACATAAGGACAAACAAACAAAAAATCCATTAGGGATTGGGGCGTCCCCCTTCTTGAATGGGCTAAATTAATCTACATTTTCCCCATTAAGATCGTCCACACTCCAGTTTTGAATGTCAGATTCATGCAAACATAAAGCCGAATTATACGGACAAGCCATGAGATGAATACTGACACACTAATTGCTTCGAGTGGATCTACTCAAAATCGTTAAAGTTTGAGGCTGTTGTCTAATTTGTGGGCAATCATGGCCGTGGAAAGCATGGAACGCTTCAGAAACTGAAGCCCAACCAACCACAAGCGGTGGTGCGACGCATAGAAATGTTTGCCTGGTGAAAAACTTATTTGGGAACCACAAACTTTGTTCACTTTCAAGTGAATTCACGTCGTGGCCCCTAAAGAAAAGGTCGCCATACCAGTGCGAGTGAAGATTAGTCCATCTTTTAATAAACGATGATACTAAAGACGATAAGGAGACAATAGTCACTAGTTAAGTTTCCTCGAATTCAACAGTCTAACATTGTACGCAGTACTGTTTCTTCTGGAAAACATTTGAAATAACTTGCAAGCATTTTGAAAAATACGGAACATAAAACTCGCCTTCATTAGCATAACTGATATAGATAGTAAACAACACAAGAACCCCACAAAAGGAGCTCGGTAACCTGTGGAAGCTTCTGTGTGAAACAGATGGCAAGCGGCAAACATCTTTGTTCATTTTCCTCACAAGTTGCCTCTATCATTTGACTATCCAGCACACCGAACTACCAATAAGAACCAGTAGATAACGAGACTCGAATTCGTCCCAACCTTCATGAAGAGAGCACACCTCCAAAAGATAAGATTCTGATCGGGTCGGATTCTCCTTTCTGCCAGGAGATGCCACCGTAAGTATTGATGGGAAACACTTCAATGTTAATGGAAATGTTTCCTCAGACAAAAGTTTGGTGTAGAACCTCTCAGTGCGTGGCAAGATGGGTAACCCTCCTGCTTAATGGATTTCTCTTGTTCACGTAAAGCAGATTCATGGCAAGATATTCAGCGTACGCCTGTGCTTTCATGTACCGCCCAGATATCATCGCAACCACACTCCAGTATAGTATGACGGAAAATGACCTGAACTACATGGAAGTACCCAATAACTCGAACACCTCGGCAAGCCTAAAGAAAAGAATAGAAAAACAGCCTTAGCGGCCAAGAAGATCATTTGGGGCCAGTCGCAATACCGACGTGTCTACGCAGCATATACCTGTATCTGAATCGTAAATTTGCAGGCACGACTCGGCAGTATCAGAGATGCATCCTTGAACAGTACTGGCGACACTACTCGTGGTGTGTTCCCACGATTGACCCTGTGTCATCACGGTCATTTCTGACATGCGCAGTTTTAGAACTAACCACCATCTGGTCTGTCAGGAACAAAGTAGACACTTCAAAGTCTAACTAGCACAACAATCGCCATTGTGCACATAGTTGATTTTTCGGGTCTTTTGGTTTGTGTGGAGAAAGTGGAAAGAAAATAAACAAAATATGAGCTAGAATACCCCCACTGTTATCACCAAATACAGGATACACGCCTCATAGTGAGGGGAACGTGAAGCCGCTGTGAAAAGATATCTATCACTAATGTGGCCGTCGCTGGGAGGTCCTAATGTGAAACTAACAAGACACTGTAGACGGGAAAGTGTTCTATCAACCACGTGCAAGTGTGCATTTCTAATGAGAGTGTGTGGATGTCCCATGACTCAACCTGATGCAGCATACAACCTAAAAAGGGTGTTATTTTCTCCAGTTTCAGCAGTGCGTCCAGAAAAGTAGATGACAGACTAATACCGAAGATTATGTAGTAAACCAAGGAATACTTACTTGAAAAGTTTTGGTCTCTTTTGTTTGGAGATTTTCCACAGTAACCTCACTCTTCGCTGAATTGACCTGAAAAACGGAAGTTATTGAGATTGAACAAGTGCATGTGGGCATTGATGGAAGGACAAAGCTGTGCCCCGTTGGAATGAGGAAACTGAAGCATGCGTATAAGTAGCGAGCGGATTATTTTTCGCTGTTGCTCCAGCTAGGCCTCATGAACACATGCATTGGTGCAAGAATGACCATACCCAATCTTTCCATCACAATGCTATCAAAATGCACCGTGGTGGACATATTTCGACTTAGGCGTAACCTCACTTATGGTCATTCGATACACACCAGAAAATCATTTGATCACCATAGTACGATCGTGTTTTGCACAGAAGCTTTTCTGGAACTTTTCTATAGCATTCCGCCGTAACAGAAGACGCATAAGATCAACGAACATCGAAGGAGGGATTCTTGATGCTATCCCTCCAGGAAAAAAAACAAGTGCAAAAACAGCCTTCAGGCTAATCAAGTTTGCGGAACTGGGGATTTTTTTCTACCGGATGACTGTTGTTGAGTGCTACCTGAAAGACTGAATGAAATTCCAGAAGGTAGCTCAGTTGTTCCAACCCGATATCCACCATTGAGCATGTTTTTCTTTGTTTTTTAGTTATTGTGTCATCAAGGAACTCGCACAAACTGAGTCAACAAATGTACACCTAAACAGTACGAAAACAGCACAAACAACAACCGAAAGTTAATGCATATTGGGAGGAATACTAAATCACAATATCGTCTTTGTTCAGAAGTGACACCCTTCCTGTCATAACTGTCACGTAACCAGGAGAGAGAACGAGTCCTGTGATATGATCGGGGAGCCGAAGTGGAGTTCAAACCATGGACCCCCGTGGAAATAAAGCACCCTTACCTCGGGCTACAATATGAACTGTATACGTCGCCGCAAAGAGTAAAGGACTTCCACCGTGATCGATATATCTGACAACATAAAGGAGATCTGCTTCACTATACTCAGGTGAAGAGGGAAAATACTTATACGGGGAAAGCCTTTTTTCTGAGAACAACGGCGGTCACATTTCACCCATCAAAATCAGGGTTTCTTAAGAATATATGTAAAGAAGCAGGATGATCGACTATCTGACAGCTCGTCCAGATAGGTAATGGAGAAACACGAAAACGCATTGTTTTACGACAGTCTAGCCAGACAACGCTCTAGTTTTCCATTCCCATAATCGGACCTGTCTACGTCACATAGGTCCGTGCCAAATGTTTCCCCAGCTAATTTCGCTAAATACGGCGATCGTACGTTTGATGTCAGACATTTCATCGCAGGACACACGTAAAAAGCAATACGTAGGAATGCATCCTACATAATGCGTAATTCCGTAAAAAGTGAAATAACAACACGCCTAAATTCTGTTAATAGATACTATTCGTTGAGCATTTCTTAGCGTGTATTTCATTGGTGGAGGAGAGAAAAGGGACATCCAAAGCGCTCCAAGGTCAACTGATTATAATTCACCTCTGAGAGTGTCATTATGGGTACCGCATATCCCCCTAACAGAAAAGACATTCGCCATTAAGGTGGAAATTGTTTGTCCAGGGCGTAGATTGTCATTCTTCTGTTCACTGAGCCGGGAAAATTAGCTGATAACGTCTCATCACCAATCGGAATGACATCAACAGCACCTAGTAGATCAGCGTTGCGTCGTGGATTATCGGGTACACTGATACGCACAAACCATCTGACTGAGAAACACTAATATATCACCCATGGGATATGGCACCTCGAATGGTGATAACCGATGTGTCCAGCTCAGCGAGCCCCCTGTCTTCCTATAGATTCTTCATGTTGAGGTGCCTCGGCACTATTTACATCACAGAAGAATTGTCAAGATGAAGGGACGGGAAGTCTGACCAGGTGACAAGTGAGAGTGCTACGGAGGTTGTGCAAGTTTTCGGATCATATGCTACGGGCCCATCTCCCATCGTACAGCTAGACTTCGTAATCACCTTCAATCCAAACACCTAAGGAATTTAGTTGAGATAATCTATGGAGGCTGTCGGAACGATCTGAAAAGATTCTATAATTAGAAGCCAATGACGTTTGAAACTGTCATAAAAATGTGCGACATTTTGCAAACATTTACAATACTGCCGTGATAGCCAACACTTCAGTGCCCAAAGGCGCATCAAATAACCTTATATGGTCGCCGGTTTGTTCGCTGAGCTAGACAATTTGATTGCAAACGTTTTGTCACCAATCCAGGCGACATCATCAGTGAGTTTTTAGGGAGCATAGTAGAGCGTAGCGATGGGTCACTAGGTAAATGCATCGTATGGGTATGTTTATTCAATTTTGGTTGATGGTACACTAGCCAAAGTGCGTTTACCTTTCCAATAAGCCGTAACTCATGTGCAGAAGCGTTCAGGTACATCCAGAGGTTTCCGTCCTGTATAAGTCGGGCCACAGCTCAAAATCGCACTGAATTTCCATGGAATAGTGCAGTTTCTAAACTTCAGCTCCACATCAGTGTCGCATGAGTCGGATTATCAAATATTTGGTATATGAGTTTCAGATTCTCAAGGACCGTGGCATCGCACCTGGATTTCAAGTTGCAATCTGGGCCACCTTCAAAATGTTGCACTATATGCAAATGCTTTGTTCAGCTGTAGAATCCCTTCGGTGCTTAACTGCCATGCCGCCAGAAGGAATCGCGAAGGCTGAGATACTGCCAGGTTGCCGAAACCCAGACAGGGGAAGTCAAGAGGCAGAGGTCGGGTTTGAACCACGGACATTCCGGTCAGTAAATTCGCGCTCTAACCAGGCTCCCCTTGCGCATACAAACCTTTCATCTACGGATAGGTGTAGGGACAGCGTTTGCTTCATGCTGTTCATTGTTGAAGGTTGTTCGCTTACAAATTAGCAAGTATCTTCACGCTTAGAAGCTATCTTTCACGTGTTTTCTGGACAATTACGTGTTACCGTTTTCCATGAAGTTTTGTCACTCCAGTGTCGATCAGTCAGTCATATGCAGTTTAAATCAAAAAGTTAAAGTAGAAGCGCCTGAATGGCAAGACTAATTCTAGGAGATTTGATGACTGAAACAGCAGAAACAGCTCGTGTAACAGCGAACGGAGCTGTGCTAAGGAAAACACACGAGCGCATTTCAGAATATCGTGATAGGTCAAAAGCCACGAGTAAGATGAAAGATGGCACAGCAAGATGCGAACCGGGACTGAGGGAGAGGCCAACAACCATCAACCACATATATATCAAAATAGCAGCTCACCAACTGTCTGCGTAGCAAGTCTGTCCAGGAATGGATGAAAGCGTGAAACACGGCAACTTTACACCACCCAGTATACCAAATGCAGTTCATCAAGGGAACCAATGAGCAAAGCGCACGAAATATGTGGCTCACGCATTCGCTTCGCTACGTAGTGCACCCGCCGACCAGCTACACAGCTAGTATACGACTGCTCGCACATATTGATTTACTACTGTGACAGCCTGATTCCCTGCGACACGAGGTACCGTGACGACTGGCAAAAGTTATCGTCAATTTAGCCTCAGCGATTCGTTTTGTGGATGCTTATCAGCTATCTCTGCGTCGTCAGAGCACTGTCAATTTACAGGCAGGATAGATGATTTTGTTCGGGTTTTTGGCAGTGAGGTTTGTTCACAATTCGGAATACTTCTGCTCTTACTTCAACTAGTATGCAGGAAAAGTCGGATGTACTCCGCTAGTCCTATTTCTCTCACAGGTCAAGTTACAACGAGAGCTGGAATCTTCGGACAGTTAGCTCTATGCTTCTGTGGAGTTCTCTAGAGCCCAGTTACGATATCTATTCTACCTATTTCTTTTCCGGCTCGAAAAGGGAGAACTTGCTTAAATGGAAGTCGTAAGATGTAGACCAAAAGATGGCATGGTTGATCCAGAAACATGTATACAAACTTTTGGACCGGCTATGTGACGGAGCTGTTCATAGACATGTACTCACTTGATCGAGAAAGTGGTAGGAAGCAGCCAGCTGCAGTGCATGGGAGTCGAACCTAGTACTTGGTAACGAAGCTGAATCGTTCAAGAAGCAGCCGAGGCTGGTAGGTCATGTACTACTCCTGCCCAATCTAAACACACGTTGGTGAAAAATCAAGGACAGGGCATGAAGTGGCGGGGCGAAATGAAAGCAGCAACAGCCAAGAACTGTTGTGTAATTTTCACGCCCCTCGAGTCGGATATGTGATTCCTATTGGATATGGTGAGAAATCCTACAGGACATGGTTCACCGTACTTGCCTGCTGGGTTTGTGTTGGGTAAAGTCCGAAAACGATGTTGATGCTGTCCTATCATGAGCTGATTGTTGTGTTGAGGACAGAAAGCTTTTTAATTGCACTTCCACCATTTCCCTTTCCTCCGACTCGTTCCTGGGGCCCTTTTCGTGTGGAAGAGAGCCAGAGGCGGTCAAACAATGACCTGGCAGCGAAGTATAAAAGCCATTAACGGCAAACTCAGCTGCACTGGTCATTGCCGTCTTCCTGGATGGGGACCCCAGGACGGGCCATATCAATGGTTAGAGATATTGTCAGACATGGCCCAGTCGCGCCCTCAATGGCGCTCATGCATCCAAGCTATTACCTTCAATGCTCCCTTCCCAATCCCCCCACTTAACAGTCCGCCTACTGTGCTGTATTCACGCACTAATTTATCACTGCGCAGCTACCTACCCCACCTCCCCAAATCATCGGTAAACGAAACTGTGGCAGCTACAACCACTGTACGACAAGTACGTGGTTATTAAAGCTGACAATGATGATGATGGTGACTCCTTCCTCATGGCTGCACAGAAGTTAAGCTCCGCTGGCGATGGTGACGGCCGCGGTACTAAATGTGCACATGCACGACTGGCTGTCAGGCATTTCGAATGTCTAAAAATTATACAGCGGTGTTTGCCAGGGTCGAGTAAGGACAGACACTAAATGGTTGTAGGCAGCTGACAACACCCTATTGAACCATGTAAAACCTTGACTACAAACTCAAAATTATCCACGGTGTTGTGGAGTACACACTGCTCCCAACTTTCGACTGAGCTACAGTTGTTCATGTTTGTTCTTCCTACCTAAGACGCGTCGTTTTTACTCATGTCGTATGCCCAGGTGAGTATGGTCAGAATGATCAAACGAACCAACTAGTTCTAACTAACGATTCACTGTTTGGCCAAAGGCTGGAATTTATCAAGTTTGTGCAGTGAACGATTACTGCGTTGGCTTATGCCTACGGAACACACCACTAGACAGTAAACCAGGCTGATGCTGATATTTGGTAGTCAATAATGACCTTGTATTCATAATATGATAGACTTGCTCATCAAGTTCGTCTATTCGGTTTCTATCGCCGGTTTCTTTCCTGTTACGTAGCTGCCTCTCATCGTTATCTAATCTGCCTCAGAGATAATCTTCCGTTAACCCGCAGCCATCTGTCCCCCCACCTGAAAAAACGAGGAGGAAGACTGAGAGATTACGTGGGGGCATGTATTTATAACCACTGTCGAGTATTTTCGTTGTTTTCGGATGGAGGTAATAGTAGCTAGAACTTTGCTGACTTTTGATCGGCCCTAGACACCCCGGATTGCAGAAAGCATATAACCCTCAACACTTTCACGTATTCAAAGGTGCTAACACACAGCCAGGTGGTATATGCTGGCATCGAAGCCGTTAAGGAGATATGCTTGCATATTTGGTGACTGGCAAAGAATATGTACTATCAGTGGGCCGTGTTAAGGGCAAAGTTACAAGTGGATGCTAGTTCATCCTGTGAAGATATTCACCAAAAAAATAAATGAGCTACATTAGAGTCAAATTTGTCGGCCATTTGTCTTTTTTGTTCAGGGATAAATGATTCCATTCTACAAACCATCTTTCCGTGTCGAACACCAAGCGAGGGGCACTTACTGAACATTTTGGCAACAGGGAGTGTCTTCAGTTTTTTACTAGAACTACCAGCATATATAAACAGTAGAGGTGGGGATAGCGCCATCCACCTACGATAAACTTTTGTTTATGGGTCACCGCACCAGGGTAACTGATATCCCAGGGGATCAGATTTAGATAAGACAAGATACAAATTTAGATAAGACTATCGAAAGAAAATTGGGCTAAACGCAAGCGAAACGAAGTTTTCAATTCCACCTTCAAGTAAGACCTCCAGCGCCTTCGGACTGGCTCTGTCTTGCTTATTTCAGACTACCTACCAGCTTCAACCTAACGCACCAAACAAAAACAGCACTAGTCATTCTAAACATTGAAAACTAAACGAAGAAGATAACACTGAGGGATTTTCGATTAGGCTAGCAGGTGCGTGGAATCGTATAGCCTTTACGTTGAAATGACATAAAACTGGTTATGAAGCCATGGATGACTAAGTGCAAGAGTAGCGAGTAGTATATGGACAATGTAAATATACAAGCTAGGCTGTGGTACTGATCAACAGTTAGAGAAGTCTAAAGAAGTTGGGTTCAGCCCATAAAGAACACGCTGAACTGGATTTTATCATCAATAAGGGATTAAACCACCCACCTCAATTAAGTGATGCTGCAGATTGAAATGAATGCCTCGTTCGCGACAGATTGCAGCCAAGCTATCCGCATACTTTGCAACGGAGAACATTGTGGGTAGTGCAGTAAAGTAGAGTATTTCCGCCGACTGCCGCTGACCTTTCTGTTGAGTGAGAACAGTAGATAGGAAGTGGGACCACTACTGATACTGCGATTCTGATAAAATGGTTGAACATAGAGGATTTATATGACTCCGGTTAGATAAATCCGGGCCGCAAACAAACTCGCAAAGAGGACCATGGATAAGACGGAGAAAACGCGAGCAACCATGTATATCTCCTCTAGCAAGTGGATATAACAGAAGAATCAGATGAAACTTGTTCAAGGCTAGCACCTGGAATGCAAGCAAAAAACATTACAAGACAAACAACCGGGACAAGTGAGCGTTGATCTTGGCGACTGGCCGAGTGATCACTAACAGCCATTTCGTGGAAAGACAGGGTGATGTGGAGGAGATAGAAGATGGAGGGAGAATTTCGCATGAAGAGATGTCAAGAATAGTTCATTTGCAGCACGCTTCTAGTATACGGGTTAGGCAGCCTAACAAAAGAGTGGAAGCCGAGATACTATGAGGTAGCCTAAAGAATGGGCGATTTCAAAAGGCGGAGCTCTAGAACAATAGGCGCTTCAGGTTTGTGATGCGCGAACTTGCGAGCTAAGGGTAGTCAAATTCACGGGTTTGTCTGGGAATACACGCCACTGTGTGCGTAGGGAAACTAAGGCACAATGGCACTTGTAAATCAAACCAAGGGAACCCTGATTTCGTGAGGATTTATGTTTCGACTGATAAGCAATCTTTTTGATCCTTCAAACGCCATAAAAGCAATTCATAAGTGGCATACCTCCAAATTAAACACAAGGTATGATAGGCTTAGTGACAAACGTGCGCAGATATATCATAGGGCACTCTTTGTAGACTGAGGAAAAATCGTCCAGCTGTGACACCCTTGGGGTGCCTAGCTGCCATGCATCCCGAACGAGGCACAAGGGCTGGGATACTGCCAGGTTGCCCAAGCCTAGACAGGGGAATTCGAGAGGCAGATGTCGGTTTCGAACGGCGGATCTTCCGGTCAGTAAATTCGCATACTAACCACTGAGGCATCTCGCCCCCATCCACTGAGAGAAGCAGTTCTAAAATAGAACGAACTAATCTCGACTTCTCATCTCATCCAACTAGGATTCACGGCCAAGCCTCCCATCCGGCATTTTACTTTCCTGTGCTAGTAATGTTTAGTGTCTCAAGTGAAAAAGTCGCAGCAAGTAGCTAAGTGAACTATACTGTTCAATATCAGTTTCAACCGCCGCACGAGTGCACAAACGACCTCACGGGCACAACAGCGCTTGATTGTCGTTTATTGGATCAAGATATACCAATCACTTTCGTACACAAACATAGCAGACGGTGTTGATAAACAAGTTACGAGAGTCGATATTGTCTGTCTCACGGTCTTATCACTGGGCCATGTAAACTCATCATCCGAAACCATAATTCGGTATGCAAAATCCTTGCACTAGCTGCGTTAGCTGTGGCAAGGGTGAAGTAACGTGTACCGATGGGCATACAAAGAAGCAACACAGGACAAAGTCCTTATCGTATTCCGAAAAATTCCGAGGGTAAACTTCCAAACACCAGGAAAAATCACTCATAGAGCCTGATGCAGTAGGGTGTCGGTAGGTATCTGTCGAGTCGGGATGAGTTCAAACTAAATTGGTTGACGTCTTATGCACCGGTGAACTAGACGTAGCTGTCGCTTCTTATCCACCCATACAAATGTAAACCGCTTGAATCAGTAACTTTGCCATCTGGTCAACGAATTTGGTGGCCTACGGATACTAAGTAGCTAACGATGTGATATCCTTTCTTATAACTGCAGCTACTCACTCAACATGTCATTTGCTACTGTCCATCGGGTACAGGTAGAAGCCGATGTAGTTCTAAACCGTCACAGAACTCTAGGCGTCCATGGGTTATCATCAATGTTCAACAGGAATCTCGGAGGCACCTTATCTCTTACGAGTGAACAAGGCTGCAAAGACGGACTACACGATATTTACTGCGTAATGTCTGTAAAGAATTAATTCGGTCTGGAAACCCGATATTGTCCTTGTCGTCCTCACTGTACTGGGACTGCTTACGTCCTAGACTATGTACTCGTTTATTCAACAACTGCTCGTAATTTAAGGTCCAGCTTTCCTATGTCCATCTACAAGTATGAGCACTCCGAATACGGAAATCCTCAAACGTCCCTCACAATAGGGGACACTACAGTTCAACGTCATCAGTCACTTTTGGATACAAGCCAATCTTTCCGAAGAAGGCTCACCAGGAAGGCTCATGTTTTCCCCTCATAGAAGGTATCGTCATAGTTGGCTTGGTTTTTCAACATCTCAGGAGTAGACTACATTGAACTCGCAGTTTCAGGAGCGTTTGTGAGTTTTTTCTGACGAAATTCCGATAATGACAGACCGGGTCAATTTACTGATCTGATCAGAAACATTGGTTACGCAAGTATGAAGTAGTGCCTAGCAAAAAACGTTGATTAATTGGTTATTCGGTGCAGATAAAAGATGAAGACCAGACAAAAAGCAGAACACACATTTCCGGTACACTATACTAGACCTGAAGCAAGCAGGTCGTCAACTTCCGCATGATCAAACGATACAGTGACACGATAACAGGCAAGAAACATTACTAACCCTTCGGAGATAATCGTCGAACAAATACATTACTTTCTGCGGTGCACCGGCGCATTTTATAGGACCAACCGGCAGGGTGAATATTGCTCGCCCACCCTTGAACGACTGATAAGCATTGAAGGTCTTCTCAACATAATCCGGAGAATAATTGGAGCAAACACGCGGGTCAGTGTTGAGAGCTGTCACAGCTCCAGGGATCTGAAAATGGATAAGAAACGACTGGGTGTGGAAGAAATACAGTGAACCTCAAGATTTCTTACCCCCTCTAAATGAGAACTTGACAGCAAAAGGTCAGCTTCTTTCCGCTTCCATTCACGTCACCACTAGATTGAGGGGCAAAATGCAACCTCATCCTCCCACCCACCCCCAAAAAAGCGACAGAAAATTCCGGGGTTATTTTTCCATAAATCGAGAAACCGAGCCTTGTTGACATGATTATTGACTTCCGTCTAGCCAGGGCTAGCTAAAATGTGTGAAAATTAAGTTGTCGGTTACCATCGATGAGTAGACCCAGTATTGATCAACGGGAGTGGACAGTGACTAACCACACAACGACATACGTATTGTAGTGCATCATGGGATGTTCCAGGAAGCTTAGTTTTGCCGGTGGCTGGTCCAGTCTTTCTAAGAAAATAGTAAGCTAAGTTCGCCCGATGATGGTTCCATTAGGTGGTTTTTTTATTCAGTTGGAATCACCTAGGCCCGTCGACAATCATTTCATAAGAAATGAAATCTTATCCCTCCAAGATAAGACTCCGCCCACCTACTCCAGTGGGGACAACACCCAGCTAAGGTAATAGTCTAAGACAACCAAACGCAAGGTCCATACAATGGTTGAAAGATACGGTTTTCCTAAAGGAAAATACTCACAAAGTTGCTGAAAACTCTTCGGCAGCCAACGTTGTGAGTAGTTTCCTTTATGAAAACAACTGCGATATCTCGAATATCGTGCCAACTGAAACACGAGGCGGCCTGTGTGCAGCACATTCAGTTGTAAAATATCATCAACCAGAGATTCAGTTGAGTTCCTCGTGAAAACCAAATTGATTGGCAAATGAGTGTATTTCTTATGATACCGGTTATTGATCGGATGGCTGTGGACCCATTCGCTGAAATTAGCGATTGGTTGGAAAACATCTCATCATCAATGAGGAGACATCAATCGGTGTTCGGTCGGGTGGGTATTTTCCCCTTTTTCATCCGTATTTATATAGTTTTTAAACAGCACCTGATAACTCTTAACTTTAATGCCGAATTGGGGGGTAGCTTTGTGGCAATCTCATTCGACCATCTACGATCTTCTTGATGGAGTGATATCCCTCACAGGTGGTTTACACTAATTGTGTGGGAATATCTTGGAAGATTCAAACAAAGCGACATGTCAACAGCAGTGGTAGTTTTCCTGAGGTACATACCAGCGAATCCAATTCTCCGGAATACAAAACGTTGTGTTATCCATGCGAAAAATTTTCCGAAGTGTGGGGCTTCCTTGGTCTCCCCATCCAACTACTTTTTCGCGATGCTTGTGGAAGCTAGCTCCTTTAGAGACACAAAAACACGAGTCCGGTACACTGGCCAAAAACTCACTAATGAGATATCTTGCCAGAATGAAGAGGCAAAATTAAGTCCGAGTGTTAATTCGGAACATTCGTCGTTAAGTTTGCAATACACAGGGCTGTCCCACAAAAAAAACGACTGACAATAATCTCCAGTGGCTCCTGAAATCAGCTAAGGGGGACAAATGAAAATCACTTGTAGTGATGGCGGTTCACTCCTGAAGATTCGCTCTGCATAGTGGGACAACTAAAACACAGAACACAGAACTAGAATATTGCTTCATGATTTTACGCTATGAATGTGAATGTTATTGCCTTCCAAACAGTTAATTCAATTGTGTAAACTTAACTGACCAACTGCGTTGACCGCCTCTGAGAGAATCGCTCGTAGCACATGCCGCAAACCCAGAATCCCCAGATGTGCCGTAACCGAACCGCTGCGCGTTCATATCTATTGCTTGTCATTCAAGAGATGTGCATATACACCTGCTTTGGAAGAGTTCTCGTTGGATAAACGGGCTGGCGTAGATTATTCGCACAGCCAAGAATGTCGGTAAAGTGGATTCCAGTTTATGTGATGCTAGTTAGTTTCAAGCGAAGACCCGCGAGAAAGACAGAATGGACGCCACAGGAACACAGCTTACTTCTACTTTTAAGAAATTACTTTTAAGAAATTTACCAAAAGAACCATTTGGTGATCTCTTGTCTACTGGGTCGCGCGCATCTTAGCTGTATTGTTTACCCAAGGTCCATACGTACGGAATGCCACCACAATTCACCCCGATTACGCTCAACTCCCCTTAACACAGCATTGCTGGTTCTGGAGGTCTTAAGCCTCTTCAAAACCTCCTGGTACCTGAAACCTGTGGCTGTATTGAACATACCTGTGACTAAAATTAGCCCAACGAAACATCTGTCGCTTCGTATGAAGCACGGTAAATAAATTGTACCAGCTGCACGGATATTGATAGCAGAGGACAAATAAATGAATAAAACGAACGAAGATAACTTTTTGGTGACCAAAACATGTCGACGTCAAGTATATATATTCGATGAGGAGGTTGGTCGCATTGACGTAACAAATATGTACCGAGGATTAGAGCAGTGCGAAGATTCAGAGATGGCCCTTATCGGTGAGTGAACAATTTGCTGTTGTTGAGATGCTGGTGCCCCGGTCTCGCTGAACTACGTAAGCTCGCTACGAACGATTCAGCGCCAACCAAAGTAACATCACCATTACGTTGTTAATTCAGCGCCAACCAAAGTAACATCCCCATTACGTTGTTAGTAAACTGCCCCCCCCCCCGGTGTATGATGACACACTGATGACGTCATCTCGACTGACAAAATTACCCAGACCAGCAAACAAACCAATGAAAAACCAACAGCTTATTAAAATAATGAAAACCATTCGCTCCAAACATTCGGGTAGTAGCTTCCGTATCATAGTTCAAATTGAATGGACTTATTTCACAATGGATAATCTCCAGCTGCTTATCCAGTCGCGAGTCATATCCCAATGCAAAAAAAACATGCATAACTTTGTTCTTGCTGAACTGATCACCCAGCTTTTGTGTCCAGTCAGAAAACCCGATATTTCCCATACTGAGCCGCTTCACTTTAACCTCACCTCACGCCTTCTCATACACCATTCATGTTACCCTTCGCTAAAAACTACAAAGATGGTCTGGCACACTTCACCATCGCATTGATTGACGTCAGGACTAGCAATCAGCTACACTCAACATTCCAGATCAGCTCTACAACTCGCAACTCACCCAACATTACCATTACCTGATGAATTTACGTCACAGTTCCGCGTACGCTCGCATCCTTCTACTGTCAATAGATACGCACCTGGAGCCACATGTTGGAATGTGCAAACACCCATCCACAAACACAGCACACCAGCCTAAAGGATTAGTAATAAGTTGAGCACCTATGTGGATGCTGAATGAAGAAGACAAACCCCAGCAAAGGTCGTTTCTCGTTTGATGGGACACTTGGTGAGAACAACTGAGCACAGGGGTGACTATTGCATGGTGCCATAGATCAAGATCACTGTTAGTTGATTATTTCCTGCAATATTTGGGCGACAGGATATTTGGGGTAAGCATAAAGGTTGTAATATCATGTGTGTTATCCAAAAACACAATTGGTAGTTTCGGATTTTAGGGGCAATGGGTCCCTGCAGGCCACCAAAGATTACACTTAAGCTGTCGGGTGAAGTTACTCCTTGGGAGATATGCTGAGGATAATGTTAATTTAGATTGCTGTGAACTGACTCATTATTGTTGAATAATTCATTCCCATTTTCAACTGACCGCATTGCAGAGCACTGGGGCCAACGTCACTCGATTTTCCCGGTTTCTGTTGAGGGACTGGTACTTACCCATCTGCTCAGTAGCATAGTTCGGGAAACCGGAATACAAGGGTGCTTACAAGACAGTACGCCATGTAAAATTGAGGAACGAGGAAGAGGCAGCATAAAACAGCATCGGCTGCAAGTTGCCGTTAGCGCCGGATAAAAATAAGGGAAGAATTACTCAGTCACATCAGAAAACAACAAAGTCAAGAATATGGAGATGAGTTGTATAGTAAAAAAGAAGTAAAACCAAGCAGAATACCTGGATCTTACACATTACCCAAGGGATACGTGAAAATTCATCATTAGGGATCATACATGCAAGATCGTAAACAATACTTCGGAATGTTAACTAAACCAAACACATAAGCCAAAGTAGGGCGTCGGCCGGAACCTACCAAATCAAAGCGTAGCTCCATTCCAACCGCTAGTACCAACTGGTCATACGTAACCTGACACGAAACAAATAGGAGAACACAATCACTGACAAATATCTGAACTCTGACTAGGTGATATGTTCCTCATAGGGAGCAAGCAACTAAAGGTAGCCCATGGGGACCAAACTTGGTGGTCAAGAAATCAAGTCTAGACCTTATCCGCGAAGCCACCCTAGTACTGACGAATCGGGACGATCACCTTCTGTGTAGGGGTAAGCTGGCTCCAATGACTTCGGAATGCCGCGTTCTATGACCAACGATTCTCAGCGAGATCAGTTCAGAGTTTCGCCACGTAGAACACTCAATCACAAAGGGACGACAGCATCAACCCTCTCTCATCTGGCATCACCACTTGTCACAAGGTGATGGAAACAGCAACATTTCTAATCTGACATTAAACTTTAATCCAGGTTACATGGGCCCCTACATAAGCTGGTCCACTGAAAACTTTACGCGGTAAGTCAGACTATGGTACAAAACTTGAAGTACCAGCAAGTACGTAGGGCAAAGACCAAAGTTACTTGCATCCAGTGATTTTGAAGAAAGTAGAAATCACGCATATTGCTTGCTTTCCTAGCAACTTGACCAATCGCTCTCTCATTTTGCTTGATTCCACATTGTGTGACCGATACGGAATTCGCTTTCTCAGCAAGACTTGACCACCGTTTGATCCATCCAGAGATGATCATTACTAAATAAATAAATTGCCGTACCTTGACTTGCACGCCAGATAAGGTGCACTACAGGTGCCAAGCGCAATGAGTACAAATGCAACCGACACACAATCGTAAGGATGAGTAAGAATATCGGGTGGAACATACAAAATGAAAGACAGTGCATCTGACGTAAAAGCAAGTTATGGAGATAGCAAGCATGAATACCAGTGTCACTAACACTGAGCTGGACTAAACCTACTTGTTTACCACTCTTCAGGTGCAGTTTGGACTTCTCTGGATCGATGGCAAATACTGCGTCTCTTATCCAATGTACCGACTCAGGAATGGCTTTTGACATTGGTATCACCGATTCTTTGAATGGACGAATCCCAGCACCCACAAGTGTCCATAGTGGCTGATAGTAGTGTACCTATGAAGAAAGGTGAGACAAAAAACCTGACTGGGCAGCACGAGTAGAGTGCGCAAAGACCGTTCAAGTCAGATTTAGTTTATGCATTACAAACCAAGTACCTGTGATTCATGGTTCCAAGAAAAACGGTTCCATACTTTGGTGGTCGAGAAAATAAAATGGAACAGATGATAATCCCACTGATCCAGTGTAGGCTGAGAGCCTGTAAAGTTTTGGGGTATTGGCGTATGAATAGATTTTCGCCACAAAAACGTTTACCACGTGTTGGCCTCACAAATTTACGAGACTGAACAGAGGTGAGAGCCTACCGCGCTAATTCAAAACATTCGTGTCACCATACAAAGAGGATGTGGGCCTAGCTTTGAGCGTCCATAATCAGCACTAGTGTGTTGGCCACCAAACGCATATTATATATATATATATATATTAGAGTTACCTTGGAGACCAAAGCTTTCAGTATCGTAAGAACAGTCGCTTGACCTTCTTAGAATGCTAGGTGACCAGGCATCATCTTCCATTGAATTAATCTGTACTAAACAAATAATGTTGACCTTACCTTTGGTGAGGTTCCGAGTTCTATCCATCGTTATGTTTCGTCTTAATAGCGCAAGGTCAACGCCGCGCACAAGAGCACGATAAGCTGCTTAGGGAAAAAGCTTGAAAATAACTGGTGACATATCACTTGGGATATCTACAACTGGTTGCACTGGCTGTTTATAATACAAGATCACATGTAGCGAACACTGTAAGGCTCAGCACAATAATCCCCTATCGAGAAAATCACATCAAGGAGACAATTTTGAGAGCATGTAATTCAATTCCATCGCAATCTCTGTACGAGGAAGCAACTCCCGACTCGGAGACTCACGTCCCGTTTGTGTGAGGACGGAAATGGAACTCAGACGTTGCCGATCAATGCCTCCGTGTACGGTCATAGTGACTGGATCACATGTATTAGTGTCCAGGAATAGCCGCATATACAAAAGCTACAGAGAACATTTCTCGCCAAATACCCCAATAGCCAACTGATCTTTCACTGGGAGTTTACCAAATACATTAATCGGGCGCGCATGCCGTTTGCTTGGGAGGCTATTCTTGGCACCGTAGAATTCAGTACAAGGCCAGCTGAATCGTCTCTTCAGTGTAGTTGCTCGCACGTTATAAATGGAATCTCAGAAGCATTCAGTTCAGAACATTATAAACGGAAAGAAGAACACCGACAAGTATGCAAATCGGAAAATTGTCAGTTTGTGCGCAGAAAGTTCAACTAGTTTTTTTTCAAGAAATCGTCAAGCGACGCTGAAGTGTACCTTTATCTTAGCTCATTCAAAGGTGTAAATAAGAGATGAACCAACCAAAAAATCGTCCAGCTGTAGCACCCCTTCGGTGCCTAACAGCCATGCCACCAGAAGGAAGCCAGGTTGCTCAAGCCTAAACAGAGGACGCCGAGAGGCAGAGGTCGAGTTCGAACCACTGACCTTCCGGTCAGTAAGTTCGTGCTCTATCCACTGAGCTATCTCGCTCCAACCAAAAAATCAGAGACGTATTTCCAGAGTCAGTTTGTACCTTCTTATCAAAGACAGCTTTGCAACGCATGTTTGCTCCATTTCTCAACCATTTTCCAATGTGGCACGCTTTACTCGAGTTGACTAAGCCTATGGTGTAATTTACCAAAACGAGTCTCGTGCGTAAACTAGTGTTGTGGCCTTTAGGATTAAGTCGACATATTTCTTTGTTGGTGGGTGCCGGCGGCCCATTGTGCAGTGTGGAATGCGGCTTGGATGACCCATGCTCGGTTCCCGCCATAGGCATCTTTTTATATGCAGCTATGCACTGTCATGTTGTTTCGCTGATAAACGACTTAAAGGGGTTTCTATAACACTGTTGATGGGATCTGTAGGCTGCCTAGCGCTATCATGCTTACTCCACAAAAGCCCCCCCGGAAATTACACACTCCAAGGATTTTGTCGCTGAACTTAGTCTACATATTTTGTAGGTCGCGGCAAAAGTAAATTTTTAGAAATTAAACCAACTGCATCAAACCGATATTTTATATTCTGCTGGTAATCAGTTTGTTGGGGTGTAGGAATAATCAGTCTATTCACACAATCTCCCATTCAACTCTACAGTAAGCATGGATTCAGGGTTGGAAAAGCAAGAGTCGAGGGTTCCACCATGAAAGAGTTTTTCGACGAGTGAATGAAGTGTTTCTTCCCATGGAGACACATAACTAAAACTTATATTCATAACTTGGGCGAACTGCTCCGTGAACGGTGGTTCCTAGTCTTGGGTATGGTCCTGTAGGGTAAAAACAACCTCATGCGCCTCACTCAGAACGCGAAGAATATGATTGTCAGATAAGCTACAGAGGTGGATGCGAAATACCCACAGAGATCTCTGTCAGAAAGGACATCCTGAGGAAAGTTGAAGTGAGAATCTCAAGCACACAATGACCCAGCAACTGTCCTATTAATACCATCCACAGGTAGATGTCAGAAACTCGCCAAAAATCCGAATATCGTACTTCCCGTGGTACCTCGCGTCTTGAGACGAAAGCTGATCGTCGAATGCCATGAGATTGAAGGTGAAGGTAACTACGGAAATTAGGGAACCACTTTAGAGTGTTCGTTCATTATTGTTTAGTATTCACGGGACGTCCGGGGAAGTTAAAGAGTACACTCGAGGATGTTCACTTTTCAAAAACTGTAAAGTTTCGTATCTAATGGCTTATAACCGCTTGTTTCGTCAAATTTCTTCGACAGCCCACCGTACGAGTAGTGTATTACGCATATAGATGTATCACGATATCTTGAATACCGCACCAACTGAAACATGAGGCGGCCTAGTGCAGCACATTCAGTTTCCTGAAAATACCATAAACGAGGGATTCAGCTAGGTTCCAGGTGAGTCTCCCGCAAACTCAAATTAGTCTACAAGTGAGTGTATTTCGTTTAGTTCGTGTTTGATAATAAACAACTTGGCAGCGAAGGGCATTCCTCCTTTCACCGGTTCATTCACAATACTACGGCTGTAAGTTCAAATGGCCCACCATGTGAGTCACTACCCATCATCAAATAATTAAACAAGCCAAGTACGGATACTTTGAGAAACTGATATACAGTGAACATAAAAACAGCAGGTTGTTACTTTTAGTTAATGGACATACTTATGGAATAAGTGCGCATGCTTTGACTTTGCGTATCCGGTAAACTTACATCTGATGGCTCAATAACAGCAATGTTGTGTCCACTCAAAAACCTCGTCAATTTGCTAGCAAGACTCGCGCCAGCACTTCCACCACCAACAATCACTACTTTGTGATGCTGATGAGCTACACCGGAACTACACAAAGTTCGGTTGAAGAACTGCAAAAAAACAGTCCTGAGAAGCAGTGTACGACCGACCATGTTTACGATATAACGAACCTATAAGGAACAAGGATACAGTGTTTATGACGGTCACCAAACATGCATTTGAAAGTAAAAACAGTAAAAGAAAAGTTAAAAAAATCAGCATCTTTTGAATATGGCGGAAACAGATATATCCAAGCAATAAGATAAGAAACACACACGCTCATCCGGTGTAAACCGTCATTCGGTGTAGCTGGTACACTCTGTTCTCTTGAGAGACCGTCGGCCAAACTAAATCCATAGAAAACCTAGATCCCAGCGTAACCTGTAGAGCATAACAGGTAGCGGGAAAGTTACCGTACTCGGAAGCCACCTCACGTTCGGTCGGAAGATGGTACAAAACTACACTAAAAGCTTAAAACCGTATCCAAAAGGTCAACAGTTCCCTTTAAAAGCGCCCGTCAGCTGAACTACAATGGTGTTGTTATGAAGTCCCCCAGATGTTTTAGAAACTAAGAATAGGCTCTTGATTTTTGGTATCGGGGAAATTCGGTGTAATTTATTAAAGACTGTGCAAATATATGCAGATCAGAACTACACCTAGCGACCAAGGGTGCGTTGATGACGCAAACCTGGAGGATAGAGACAATGTGTACGGATCCCGGCCACTGGCCAGGCTTGTGTTGGAAACCATCCGGCGAATTTGTGCTATTGCATAGTGGGTTGTAGATGTGCAAAAGCAGTCGCAAGCCAGTAGCGTCCAGTATCTACATGATGTATAAAGTTATTAACTTTGCACAGTAAAAAAGAGAGCAATGGTCCTATCAACTATTCACTGTCCTGGTAAAGAGAAAAGTAGTTCATCACAATGTCGCAGTACAAACTAGGTAAGCTTATTCCCTTCTCACAAGCTTCCCTGAATTCGTCCCAGCCTGACTTTCAGTAAATTGAGCTAAAACCGCCCTCCTAATCAACCGATTTCAATCATTCGATAACAAAGATACCACCCAACTTTTCACTTTGGATTTCATTCGCGAACGCATCAATCAATCCGACTCCACAGCCATACTTCGCATTCCCGGCGATCTAAATGTCTGCAAATAGGTCTGAACATCCTTTCATCGCAAAAGGAAGCAGTCGGCCGAAATCTGCAAACCTTTACATCAGATTATGTCTCCCGTCGACTTCTATGCGGTGGCTAAACATCCCAATCACTTACCTCAGTCCTGTTGTGTAGACGAATTCGCAACCTTTGGCACTCTTGACCAGTAGTGGCCGTTCCACTGCCTCTAACACATTTCCCTTTCGTCCGCGAGATTGATCTGCTGACTAGGGCGGCATGAGAGGCCTATACCAGAGACTAATGTAACCCGCTGCCTCTTGCTCAGCTGATTCAGACTACAATAAACGCCATTCAAGAGCAGACCGACATGTTCACACCTTTGCCTCAAATTCTACCACTTTCCCAAACTAATCAGAATATGCTAATCGTTTTTCACTACCCTCGATTTCAACCGAACCTGTTTATCAATGTCCCTGGTCACTAAACACCATTGTTCCGGATGGCATCCTATCATTTTGTTTCAAAACTGTGTCGTAGAACTCCATCTAACCACATATTGGCACTTACATCTCTCCCTCGCTCGCTCAGTAGTTTTCTCTTCTAGGAAAAACCCCAACGCATGGTCATTTATCTGACTCAATAACTGCCACTCCACTTCTATCAGCACCAACTTGTCACATATTTGATGGGTTTCACCAAATCAAGATAAAAAACAACAGCGACGCCTAAAGTCATCCATACATATTCATGCACCATTGCTCGATGGTTTATTGGCTTAAGTGTCACAGCTATTGTCAGCTGCCTTGGACTCCGTCGGGGATGCACAGAGATGCACGAAGAACTGCAATGGACTGGAAGGCTTGTACCTTCACCCTCTTGGTTCCACGTCCACACTTGTGCAGTCAATACAGTACTTTTCACGGAATTCTTACCTAACTCATAGTACTTCACTAGTGCACTGAATGTCGACCCCAAAACTACTCATGACTAGGCTCACTGAACGCATCTACATTCAAACCCACCACTCCTCTCCCTCTTCAACACTCCTGTTCCCAGCCACCCAAATCCACACTTCTTAGTCCACCCTAGTCGAACAATCTCAACACATACGAAATCAATTGCTACCTGGGCCTAAGGATAGTCTTTTATTTCCCTAAACCCGTGTTTATTTATCATTCCCAAAACTCGATCCCAAAACCACCCCTACCCGAAATACTGCTGTCGGACGTTGGGTG